AGGCTCCTCGGGGCCAGGCCGAGGCCCTGGGGGGTGTCAGGTGCCCTGGGTGGGAGTTGAGGCCCTGGGGGGGCCCTGAAGCTCCCGGGGGGGGACTGCGAGGGGGCCTGAGGTGCTGGGAAGGACTCTGGAGGGTTTTCAGGTGCCCTGGGGGGGGCCTCGAATGCCTGGGGGGCCCTGGGAGGGTGTTGGGCACCCTGGGTGGGCTTGGAGGGCAGGGGGACAAGGCCCTGAGGCAGTGTTGGGGGCTCTTGGGGGTGCTTGGTGGGCTCCAGAGCCAGACTGGGGCTTATTGGAGTTCCTGTGGGTGCTCAGAGCTGGCTAGGAGGCACTCGGGGCCCCGTGGGAGCTTGGTGGGTGTCAGGTTGGGGGTTACATGGGGCCAGGGGGTGCCCTGGGTCAGTCTGGGGCTCATTGGATGCCTGCTGGGACCCGGGACTCAGGGGAGGTACCAGCCCAGCAGGTCCTGTGGGTGTCTGGGAGTGTCCTGGGCCCCTCTGTACCCAGGGGTGCTGCTTGGTGGGTGCTCAGGGGCTGGAGTGGGGCTCACTGGGTGCCTGATTGGTGCTGAGACTCGCAGGTGCTCAGCAAGGACTCAGTGGGTGCTTGGGGGGTGTCTTGTTCTCCTGAGCATCCTGTGGGTGCCTGGGTCTTGGGGGCTGCGGGTGTGCAGGGTGAGTGCCCTGGGAGCCGTGCCCCCATCCGTGCCCCCTGAGCTGCTGCGAGATGCGCCTGCGTCAGGCCCTGGTCAGGCTTTCAGCTTCTCATCCCTCGCTTCTCCTTGCTGGCTCTGCACATCTTCCTGCGCCCGGCCTCTGCTGTGGCCCCGGCCCTTCCGCTGGTGCCTTCCCCTTCCAGCATCAGGAAGCTGCCTGGCTCCCCACGCTCTGGGAATAGCAGCCAGCCCAGGCTGAGCTTCCCCGGAGGCAGAGGGATGCCCTTGGACCTGTCCCAGGGGTCTTGCGTCGGCCTGAGATGGGAGCTGGTGTCGGGACGTCACGTTCCTGATGTCCAGCCAAGCCCTGAGCTCAGCTTGGACGTCTGTCCAGTATCTGCTCTGCATGTCCGTGCTGCCGGGAAAGGCCGAGGTTGCTCAGGGGCAGCGATGCTGCCAGGGGGGATGTTCGTCCCTGCCTGACTCTCCTCTTTCCTCCCCTGAGCAGACAAGGACCCTCTGGCTCACAAAAAGGTCTCGAGTTTGACCATAAACTTTGGGCCCCAGCACCCGGCAGCCCATGGGGTCCTGCGGCTGGTGATGGAGCTGAGCGGGGAGACGGTGAAGAAGTGCGACCCCCACGTTGGCCTCCTGCACCGAGGCACCGAGAAGCTCATCGAGTACAAGACGTACCTCCAGGTAAGGCGCAGCAGGCTTCCAACGCTTCCCCGTCATGGGGGCCAGCGTTCGTCCACAGGGAGAGCGAGGGGTGTCCTTTTGGGGGGAGGAAACGAGGAGGTGAGGGGCTGTTGGTGCCCGTCTGCCTGCAGTTGTCTGGTCGGATACATCAGCAGCCTCCTTGGTGTGCTGGGAGGCGATGTACTTGCGTGTCGGTTTTTGCAGTGGTGTTTGTAAACAGCCCCTGCTGATGTGTTGTCCCGATTGGGTTTAACCTTTCCGCTGGCGGGAGAAACGGATCCTGAAATAGCCCAGGGCAGGGGGGGAACGCCGCCGCCTTGGCTGGACACTGTGGCTCGGGGCAGCACGGTGACGGCTGAGCTCAGCTGCGCGGCGAGATGGTTCTCAGCTGCGCGGCGAGATGGTTCTCAGCTGTGCGGCGAGATGGTTCTCAGCTGGTGTGTGCCGAGGGTGCGGGATTAGGGCCCTCGCAGCGTCTGCGAGCTGGAAAGTTCTCGCAGAGGGGTGTTGTCTGTCTGTCTTCACGCCTTATCCTATGGCAGGGCTGTCTGCTCCAGCCTGGGGCCAGAGCTCCTGGGCTGCCTTCAGGGCTGCTGCTGTGCGCAAAGTGCCCCGAGCT